TGCAGAAGCTTTTTAATAAGATGAGATCCCAGTTGTTGATTCTTTGTGCTAGCTCCTGTGCTACTGAGGATTTGTTCATAAAGTCCTTTCTTATGCCAATGTCTTCGAGAGTTATACCTAACTTGTCTTCCAGCAAGTTTAGTGTTTCTGTTTTAATATTTAGATCTTTAATCCACTTCGATCTTAGTTTAGTGCTTGGTGAAAGACAGGGGTCTAGTTTTAATCTTTGGCAGGTTGAAATCCAGTTTTTCCAACACCGTTTATTAAATAGGCTATCTTTCCTCCAGTGAGGGTGGTTGGCTCCTTTCTCAAAGATGAGGTGGCTGAGTATATCTGGAGTTATTTCTGCATCTTTTAATCTATTCCACTGATCTCTGGGTCTGTTTCTTTGTCAGTACCATGCTGTTTTTATCACAGTGGCTTTGCAGTACCGTTTCAAGTTGGGAATTGTGATACTCCCTGTCATGACTCTGTTGCCTAGAATTGCTTTTGCTATTCTAGGTCTCTTCTGGTTCCACCAAGGTTCTTTTCTTAAGGAACCTCATTTGGAATGCTATAACAAAATGAAGTAAAAATGCATTTAAATCCTTAATAGTAGCAGATGCTTGGCTGATATTAACCCATGGTTCCTCCTGAGCTGCAGTGATAGGATCCCAGGGTCCCCTCCATGTGTGCCCCACACTGGCCTGGCCTGCAGGGGGCTCCTGAACCCCTTTCTCATTTCCTCTGTGGTCCTGTGTGCTCCCAGTGCTCAGAGTCTCAGGTCTGTGTGCAGCCTGGGTTGTTGACAGACAGGGTTCTGCTGCCCAAGCCATGGGCTGACCTTGGGCAGTGCCTTTCCCTGGCAAGCAGCTGCTGACCCGGCTCTGCGACCATTGAGCCCCTGTGGCAGGGACACCGTGGGACCTGAAGGCAGCTCCCTGAAGCCTCAGCTGTTCATGCATTTTGCTCTCTTGGGTGACTCAGAGGCACAAGGTCATGTTGTCTCACTGAAGCCATTAAAACACCATTGTCATCTGCCAACCACGCTGCACAATACTCAGAGGATGGTGTGCCCGGTAATGCACCAGACATAAGCTGAGCCCTACTGTGTGCAGGGGCCAGGGTGTGAGAACAGAGTCCCTAACCCAAGCACGGCCTGGGGGCTGGGCGGTGCAGACAGGAGCTGAGGCACAGAGTACCAGGCAGGGGAGCCTGGAGAGCCTCCAGGGGGGACAAGTAAATAAAAGTGCAGGTCAACCTGGGGGTGAAGCATGCCTGTCATCCCAGCACTCTGGGAGGCTGAAGCAGGGGGATGGAGCCCAGTCTGGGGAACTTAGTGACTTAGCAAGGCCCTGTCTCAAAATAAAAATTTTAAAAAGGGCTGGGGATATAGCTCAGTGCAAAGCCCTGGGTTCAACTCCTACCATTAAAAAAAACCCAAAACAAAACGGTGTTGGTCTACTCGCCCAGGGGAGGGCCAGGGGCAGGATGCTATCCCCACATGGGTTTGCAGAAGGGGACAGGGCCCGACACCTGTGCCCTTGACGGGGCACAGCCTGCCCTTTCCCCTTGGCTCTCCCTGGATGCAGATGCACACAGCTGGGATTTGGGGGTGGTTCACTTCCAGAATTCTCAAATCACAAACTCAGCATGCACTTGTGCTGGGACAGGACCAGGAGCCTCTGGTCCCGTGGGTGCAGCATGACTGAGTGTGTGGGTTTTCATCCACCTCTCCTAGCCTGGTGCTTCGGGCGCTGGCCCCACACTTGCAGAACCACTGGCCTGGGGGCCAGGCCCTTCAGTGGGAGTCCTCAGGCCCAAACCAGCCTGCTGCTGGGTTTTGTACATAAAGTTTCATCGGAGCAACTCCCTGACCATCTGTTGAGGAATCCTGCTGCTTTCTCACAGGGCTGAGTCATTGCCACAGCGGCTATGACCAGCAAAGCCTAAACGTTTATTTTCCAGCCCTCTGTAGAACAGCATGCAGACCCTGCGCTGGGCCACTGAGCCCCCCTGTCCTGTCCCTAGCACCTCCTCTCTGGCCCACTTGCTGGCTTTGCTGCCTCCTGATTCCCAGAAGAAACAAGAGACCCAAGTGGAGCCCCCGGGTCCCTGGCATAGTGCAGCCCATGGT